TACGAGGGTTAAAAATTGGCAACAAGACCCTATCAACCCGGTCTCCCAAAAAATAAAAACAATCACCACTCGAAGTGCACACCGTAACTCTCTGACAGTAACAATCAATCACAACTCGATACAAAGATAACCAATCCATGCCTAGAATGACATCAAAACTCGACATGTCTAGCAACACAAAAGCAAACGGAAGTCGACACCCAATAACTTCTATCTTACAACCACAACACCCCCGGTCTAAATCAACCGTACCCCCAACTGGTGACTCCACTCTGAGCGGAGACGCTTACCATGCCCCCTCTAACCCCAATGCAGACGCAAATGCAGTAGATATGAATGAATGAGACGCACCTGTATCTATCAACACATTAGCCAAAGAATTACACACAACAAAAATACCTCTCACAACTGAGGATCCTGGTAGCAGTTCTGGAGCGGTAACAGCATACACGCGCCCCTATGGCCTCTGATCAACCTGCTCGTCTCTCGGAGCATAGGCCTGCTGCACTGACTGAGCTGAAGCGGCTCCCTGATTGGCTCGTGAAGTCTGGACTGAGTGAGCCTGCTGGTGGCTCTGAGTCTGCCTCAACCCTGATGTGCCAGATGCGCCTTCCAACTGCGGGCAAACTCTCTTCATGTGCCCCGACTGACCACACTGAAAGCAAGTAAGTCCTTGCCCTCTACTCTGAAACTGACTCTGGGATCAGTTAGGTGGTGGTGGTAATATATGTTGTCCTCCTCCCTTCTGTGGGCATGAAAAGGCCTTGTGACTCGGTTGGCCACACTTGAAACACGAGAAATTACCCGGTGCGCTCTTCCCCGGACCCGCGTTAGGCAAGGAAAAGGTGGATCTAGATTGCTGTGGTTGGGACTGGGATAAAAAAGTGTTCCTGCTCTTCTTGTTGGGTTTGTAGTCCCCCTGTGACCCTTGACCCCTCAACCTCGAACCCCGAAGTCTCTCCTCCTCGACCTCCACAGTAATCTCTACATGTGCCGCCGCCTCCACAAGACGGTCATAGTTCCAAATCATATTCCCAGCAGCCTTGAACAAAATCTTGGTTCTCAACATCTGCTCAAACTCAAAGCAACAGCTCTTCCGTTGCCACCAACTCCGGTGCAAACCGAGACAAACTAGAGAAGGCCGCCTCAAACTCAGCCACGGACATGTTAAGTTGCTTGAGGTCTTGAAATTCTTGCCTCAATCTCTCTCTAGCAGTGGGAGGAAGATACTTATCTTGAAAAGCAACCACAAAAGCTTACCATGTTGGCTCTACTCGACCCTTGGCGTACTTCCACCACTGACCCGCATCTCCCTTGAGGTAGTAACTCGCAAGAGTCACCCTTAACTCACTATCTTCAATGTGAAACATCTCAAATGTCTTCACTGTTTGCTCGAGCCATTCATCCGCTTTCTTAGGTTCAGGGCCACCATGGAACTCATCCGGTTTGGCCCGCAAAAACTCCCTAGTGAGAAAACTCGCCCTTGTCTCTATGGCATTCTCTCTAGCTTGATTCTCCGCCCTCAATATGTTCATTGATTCTCTCAAAGCCCCTACCATTTCTCGGGCTAGAGCCCCCATTGCGGCTTGACCCGCTTGCCCCGAAATTTCCGCTTGTCCCACCTGCTCGGGCACATTGGCTTGGCCCGCTTGCTCAGACTCATTAGCTTGGCTGAACCCCTCCTCTTGCACCAGAACCTCATGGACCAATACTTCATGCACACCTCGGCGAGCCCTACCACGCCTCCCGCCTCTACCACCATGGGCTTGACCCCTTCCTAACATCCTAATTAAGAAACAAGATAAACAATTTAGCACATAATCTCAAGTGCAACACGTTTGACCACAACAATTCTATATATTTCTCTACCATACAAGCAATTCATTTCCACTCCACGTAAGCACTTAGTCACATAAGTACATACGGATTATTCTTTTGTGATGAAATTCGTCCCACGAAAAACCAAAAATTCTTAATAGAATGAGTATTGATCAAGTACCCTTCTAATAAAATCTCAAGGAATTTAATAGGCGCAAACAACATCCCAAAAGTCCAATCTCATACCCATTTAGTCATATAAGCTTGTTATCACATAGTCACAAAATACAAAACATCTCCTAATCATGTGAAACGAACCCATTGTGGTAAAACACCCACTCATCGTGAGCCCCAAGTGTTCAAACCCGATAGCTCTGATATCAAGTTGTAACGCCCCAAAATTTATAACATCATTCAATCCATCAACCTACGCTCATTATAAGAAAAGAAGTAGTTCTCCATCCTTTACATCATTAATCATTAAGGTTTGTACAAAATAATTCCACATGCAGATTATACATTCAATGATACCAAATATATGAATCTATAGCATGTAGAACGTCCAATCCAAAAATAAATAAACGCCCTCAAGGGCTTACAAATTCCAATGCTTAAACCCGGTTACACAAATAAATGGTCGCTCGAACCCAACCAGTTATAGCCCTTGGCTAACAAAAATGTACCACAACAAAAATATAAGAGCCCTATGCTCCCAACACATGCGTCCACGCCCTAACTTGGCAGGATCACCACGTCCTTTCCTGCACCAAAATCCCATAGGGTGAGCATAAAGCCCACAAGGAATTTCTTAACAGAGTATATATATTTTATACAAGCCTCATAAAATAGAATGCATATGCCATGTTATGCTTTTGACAAGAAAATCACATCTTCATCTTTTGAAAACCATTATGCTCAATGATATCTTTAAATTTCAACAATTCAAAATTTATCAATGTAACTCAAGGGGCAGTAAATACAACTCAGGTAATCCCTATGTTGGTGTCTGCAAGTAGACATAACTAGCACTACCAAAACCCCATTTTACCGGTTACTAACCGGAAGGGAAGTAGTACCTCATCCACGCATGTTTTCGATCTTTCACCCTGGACACTCAGGCCAACTTAATCAATTTCATTTACACCTCCTATTCGGACTTACCAACGTATTTACCCCAAAGCAATTCCATGAAAAATTTATTCACAACTTTTTTTTTCTCAATGCGAAAGTTTCCAAACTCAATTCAAAGTGTGTAATAACCAACTAGATGAATATGCAATGCAATAATTATCAAAACCATATAACATCTTCTCATTTTCAAATATCTCAACAATGATTCCATGACAATCAAAATTCTCATTTCTCCTTTCAATGCTATTTCACAAGATAACCACATATTCAATTAATTCTATCAATAGATAACAACATTTCCATACTTTGTAATTTTCTTAAAATTTTAGTCACTTCAAGATTATATTAACATCTTTGAATAACAATCTCCAAAATCACCACTTCTCATATTTCATGAAACTCATCTTTTACATATATGAAAGTAAGAAATTTTCCCATCTTTATTCATTTTGGCACACAAAGTAATATATCAACAATATCAACCAAGTGTTCTCAACATTCTTTTAAAACCCTTAATTTTTAGGTTTTTTTCTCATCACACTACACACACACAAATCTTTTGAAAGAATTTCTTCAAAAACATTTCTCCTTAGTCAATGTAAATTCAAAACCCTCAAGCAAATTATTTCAAGAGAAACAAGGAGCAAATCCCCTCCTAAACTACCCACATTGTTTAGCCAACCATCAATTTTCAACGTTAACAAGAGAAACTCGAAAATCAACAAAAATCTTGTAAGAATATATATATAACTCTAAAAAAGTCCCTACCTCAAGTTCTTGAAAGAAAAGAGATGAAGCTCCAAATCCAACAGTGTTGAAATCCGATCTCTACCACACACAATGTAGCCCTTGAAAAGTTCTACAACTTTGATGAAGGGACTATGGGCAAAACTCTAATGGATTTAAAGAAATCAAGGTTTTGATCTTGTTTGGTGTAGGGTAGGGAAATGTAGAGAGAAGGGAGAGAAAAGAGTTTTTTTAGTGAGAGAGAGATACAACAAAAGTGAGATACACTCAATCTAAAGAGAAGAAAAACAAAAAAATTTCGGCCTCACTTACCACCGCACGTGCGGCACCCATGCCTGCACGTGCAGAGCGTGCCTCCCGCACTTGCGGCTTTCATCCCCGCACTTGCTGCTTCACGTGCATTTATTTCAGTATGCACCCAAGTCACCCCTGCACGTGCGGCCCCTCTTCCGCACGTGCGGCCCCTCTTCCGCACGTGCGGCCCAAGCCCCCGCTCGTGCTGCTCTGGTCCTCCAACCCAGAAAATTCTCAGCTCAACTCCCGACACTCCGGACCCGACCTCGCACCCTCCGAAACAAGTGAAACTTAACACCGGAATAAACAAGAACAAGAATCTTGAGAAAAAACTTCTGAACACAACAAACCCAAACGATTAACAAAGCTCCAAATTAAACTTGTCACTCTAACAAGGGCAAACGCAATGTAAACAAAGAGAGAAGAGACGCACAACGTGACCAGTCATCACAATGCGCAAAATCTCTAACAATCACAATATAATCCAGCGTTAGGTTCACAAGTGAATTTGTTTGATTGCAATTACTTCCTAATATCAGTCACTTCGGCAATGTATTAGTTGACAAGGCCAGCTAATGGAATTCTAATCCTTGTGGTGCTAGAGCTACATTTAAGTGATCACTGCATAAAGAAAAAAAAATTTAAAAAAAATCTAAATTTTTTTTTAAAAAAAATTTAAGGTTGACATGTGTTTTATACTTAAATTTCCCCCAATATTCTCACTAAGTAAAAATGTGGATTATTGTTGTTCTCTACTTGTTCTATCTAGTGTTATTTATCTGGTCCTAAAGTGTTGTTTGCGCATTGGCACACTCATTTGAACTTGAATATTACAAAGTTAACTACCATAAACTAAAAATAAAAATTAAGCACCATGGATGAGCATTAAATTGGACACCAAGAATCAAAATAATGACTGTCCTACATAACCAAAGATAAAAATAGAGAGAGAGAGAGAGAGAGAGAGAGAACTTTTTTTATATAAAAATAAAAAAGCGGAGAAAGATTACCATTTGTTTAGGGTACCAGAAGATGGGAAGTTCCCATCAGGTATGACCTCTTCTTCCTTCTTACTTTTCTCTTCTCTCTGAACTGCCCTTTGCATGAACTGAGACAAATAATAGGAAAAACCCAAAATTGAGTTGAAATTCGAAAAATTAAAGAATACCCAGATAAATTTAAGCCAAACCCAGTTCAAATATCTGGGAATTAAAATTAACTACACAAAGGAGTTAAAGATTGGTGTGGGTGTGCTGATTTTTTTACCTTCAAGTTCTTTAAAGTGTTGGATAGCTCACGCTTGGCCATTGTAAATTCTGAGAATCCCTTTGAATACCACTATAGAGCTCAATACAAGATTTTGACCATCTCTCTCTCTCTCTCTCTCTCTCTCTCTATATATATATATATAAATCCGCCGCAAGAGAAGCCTTCTGTAATCTGTAGGGGAAGAGAGAACGAAATTTTCGACCTAAAATGACTATTCAATGATTAGGACGTGTTTGGTAATCAAAATTAGATGTATTAAGTAAAAATTAATTAAGTTGATTTGTAAATTGTAATTAGTAATATTTAGAAATTTAATTCGTTTGGAAGTCAAATGCCAGGCTTTTTTTACTAAAATAATCACAAAAAATAAAATAAGTTTTTTAGCGCAATAACACAAGATATTACATTTAAGCCATAATTATTACATTCTTTCTCTCACAGAAAAGTCAAAAAAACCAAAAATCCTTCCCAAACAAGGTTTTTTAGCCTCAAGCTAAAATAGTCAAAAAAGCCAAAAAGTCAACCTACTCCCCAAACGAAAGTAGTCTTTAAAGGGTAAATAACACTGACAC